AACCATCAATGGCTAAAATCAACCGGAAACATCCGATCGCTATCAAACCCGTGGCCAAAGTACCGGTAAAGTCTGAAGTGGCTAGTTGATACCGCTGGCGCCATCAGTAACATTTTGCACACGCTTGTCAATGCACAATCGGGTATATTAGATTAAGTAATAGAACAAAATATTTATTAAGGGATCATAGTTTATGTAGGATTTTTCAAATATTTCAAGGTAACGTTTAATTGTTCACAACAACCTAAGCGTAAACATCTTAAAATTATATCCTCATATGTAGTTAAAATTGCCAACCCAGAAATAGAGATAAAAAGGATTTTCTTCAGCTTCAGCTGTGCCTAAAAAGATTTGGGTTTAAAAAAATTATTTCATACCGAAGCAATGTTTTGTGCAACTAAAAATAAATATCACAGTAATGATTTGTAACATTGCAGTTGCTACGGTTTATCGCATAAATTATCTCGGTAATAGTCGTAATGTTGATAATACATTATTTGGAAATCATTTTTCAATTCGGAGAGATATCAAGAAAACAATTGTGTACCTCCTATTTTAAAATGCCTCTATTCTCTATTCTAATTATGCAATGGTCACTTTAAAATGTCAGTTTCGTTAAACAATTTCGCGAGCCAATTCGAGCATATCCGGTCCTTTACTCACGCATTGAAAGCAATGAGATGTGTTCGGTAGATATTTATAAGAGTAAAGGTGTTTTGATATTTTGATGTTATTTTGACGTTTATAAGTTTTGATGTTTGTCATAATATATTTTGCAAAATATTTTTTGAGACAAGTGACGAATTTACTTCGGTATAAATAAAAATGTAAGTAATAATGTATAAGGTCAAAGAAACAAAAAGTTGACATTGAGATTTGACTACAATAACAACAAAAGAATGTAACTTATTCCGAACCCCGTTTCTTGCTATATAGATAAAATATTTCAAATTCTAAAGAGTAATCAAGTAACTTAGACACATTAATTTTGTTACTTGCGAGATTCTCGGAAATTCTATATTTTTTTAACTTCTCATACTAAGAACAACGGCGAAAGAAATAATGCTGTTTCTGTAAATTTATAAAATCACTGAAACAGAAACTGAACAAATCGGTTCGATTTCTTCAGGATTCCCCGTCGGGTTTTTGCTAAGCTCAAATTAAAACTTTCCCAGTCAGGAATTGGAACTAAAAAAAAGTTAAAACAATGCGGGAAATACTGGTTAATTTCGATTGTCATACAACGTTAACTGTTAAAAATGGTCGAAGAACGGTCCAGGCGAAGCCAATGTTTGCCTAACACCTAGAATTAATCGATCAGTTTTGGTTAGTTAATTATCTATGCTGCAGCTATTATTTTCTGTATCAAAACTAGCTTGATGTGAGTATAATACGAAAACGAATACCGCGAGAACTGACTTAAAGACGCGGGTTTCTAATGATTTTGTTTTTAGATTTGCACTTTATTATGAGCGGATAGGCTTTAAAATATTTTGCAGTCGCTTCAACATAAATGTGACAAAATAGTTCATTTCCTTAAATAGCCCACCCCGTAAATCGTTCAATACATAATACACAAATACACAATTTAGTTAGTTTTAAGAGTAACTACCACTCACTGCAAGAAAATTCATTGATTTTCGAATTCTGTGCACTAAGCTAAAGAAATTTTGTTCAAATTTTTTCAATTTTTGGAATAAAAATCATGAAGATCTGATTCATTCGATTAATCCACAGTGTGCTTCACACATGCATGCGTTAAAATGTAGATCTTAATTTTCGTTTAGCTGCAAATTACGTCCAACTACAACTACCTCATCGGAATTTTTCGGAATTCACTTTTGAGTTTGAGAGGTAGCTTTTGTTATTGACTTGGAAACGAAGAAAAGAAAGACCTATTTGAAACGCGAAAGTAACATAACTAGATTTACCTAATACTTTGAGCCACATTAATTGGAAGTTATATGATTCGTTCCACTTCCATACACACACATACGTTATTATTCCAAATTGAATTGTTCTGTCTTCTGAACCAATAGCCAAAATATGCACTATTACAAGAGCTTCTTTAATTTTATTTATTAAATGCCCTATTCTATTATTAGGGTTTATATTTAGTGTTAACTTTGGTAAGTTATAAAAAGATGAGGTGAGGATAGTTACAGTGTCTTGTAATCAGTTTTATGAGTGTGCTTTTATTCAATTTTTCAATGTTTCTTGTACCTTGATTGTACTTTTTCTCTATGTTAATATGTTTACGAGTATTTTGTTCGGTTTGCATATTTTTTGCAAGATAATCTGGGTTTAGCGAAATATATTTTATTAATACGAACATTTTCACGCCAAATATTTTTATCTAAAAGGTTTCTACACCTTCTTACACTTACATAAATGAACCGATGACCGATGTGAGTTATTTATTGGTAAAGCCAAAGTTAAGAACAATCCAAAACTAACATGCATATCTTCAAATGGTGTATGTGTTGTCCATCGCCTGGTATTATTATTTTTCACTTTAAGGAGAAATCTACAACAACATAATTTGAAACTTTATTCTTACTTTTTGATTTGCCACTACGCAGCACTTATGTTTATAAATGTAAATATTTATGTATATGTAAACACCGGTACCGGTACGGCATCATTTATGCAGGATGTCCATAAAAACTATGGAGCAGTTTAGAAAAACCAGAAACTACAAGTGTGACATATGTCTTTGATTTAATTTTATTTTATTTTTCAAGTTTTAATTTTGGTAATGTAAAGAAAGTATTTGATAGTTGTGGCAAGTATCCAAATTATTTTTTAATTATTTTATTTCCTAACGTTATTTTGTGAATGTATAATTTTCAAGAATTAAGAAAAACCCCACAATGCAATGTTACCCAATCAAGTAAAGTCATTGCTAAAAAATGGAATATTATACAAGTGCGGCAAACGGCATTTGAGTCACGAGTTTATTTGGCACGGAGCGAGTGTTTTTTAATAAACGAGTGACTTACTATACTATATTTTTTCTACGTCAGTTAGTTATTGGGCACATTTTTGCAAAACAACCCGAATACGTTGACTGACATTATCATCAGAATTGACAAACGACACAAATTAAGCCGTGCGGTAAAATCTCTGAAAACATCCGGTTGCGCCTAAACCTGAGCGGTGATATCCAGGAAATGTCCGAAGTGACTCGGATCCGTGAGACAAGAAACTTAAATTTTCAGTAAAATGACACTTTCCGCAAGCTAGATTGGTTATTTTACGAAAGGAAGTAGAAAAATAGATAAAACATTGTAAAAATCTAAAACTGCATCAATCAATTATAATAAAATTTATTTTTTCTAGCCGCTTCTGTAAAATACCTAATTAAACACTGATCTAGCTTGCGGGAAGCGTCACTTTACCACGTGAATTTCTTGTTCCACGGCTCCCAACCACTTCGTAAATTTCCGGAATATTACCGCACGGATTTGGGAGCAATCTGATGTTTTCGGATATTTGTCAATTGTGATGATCATGTCAGTGTTGTGTTGTTTTGCAAAAATGTACCGAAAAACTAACGGTCGTAGAAATGCGCAACACGTTTGGCAAACTTTTTAAAGCACTCATTTATTAAACACATGCTCCTCTGAGCTCCGCTCGCTTCAAATAAAACTCGTGACTCAAATGCCGTTTACCACACTGGTTGCATAATACGAGGTGTGTTCAAAAAGTATCGCGAATTTTGAATTTTCGCGGGTTACGTATATTCGAATTTCGAATTTTTTGTGGCGTTATGTTGGTACTCATGTCTCTCATTTATGCCGACAAGCTCGACCATTTTGAATGTTCATTTAATTGTTGACAGCTGCTTTGCTTGCACGTGTTTTGGATCGTCTTCGATTTTTACCTATTCAAAAAAATGGATCAAAGAACCTGTATCAAATTTTGTGTGAAAAACGAAATTAAGTGCGCGGATGCATTCCGAATGTTGACTGTGGCATACAGAGAAGCTACCTTGGACCGAAGCAACGTTTATCGGTGGTACAAAATGTTCTCAGAAGTCCGAGAAGATGTGAACGACAAAGAGCGTGCCGGACGCCCGAGCACTTCAACAACCGACGAAAAAATTAATTAAGTGGAGAAAATGGTATTGGCCAATCGTCGAATCACCGTTAGAGAAGTTGCTGAGGACCTAAACATATCGATTGGCTCGTGCCATTCGATTTTTATCAATGATTTGGGCATGAGACGGGTTGCCGCGAAATTCGTACCAAAATTGCTCAATTGTGACCAAAAACAGCATCGCATGAACATTGCTAATGAGATGTTAAACTCTGTCCGCGACGACCCAAATTTGCTCCAGAGGGTCATAACTGGTGACGAATCGCAAGGCTTGAATTTTAACGTTTGTCAATTCTGACGGTCATGTCAGTGAATGTATTGGTGCTCCCTTGTTAAACACTGGTTTCGCTGCGCTCCACTCGTGTCAAATCAGACTCATTACTACAATGATGGGTATCAAACTTGTTGAATAATATACTATTACTTATATCTTGCCAACTATCCGTTCTTCCCCTATACCCAGACCAACTCCACAGTTTTTAGTATCTAGCTTGAACCTAATAAAGAAACCAAAATAAAAAAATTGTCTGTGTAAAGTAAATATAAATTTGTACGATATCACAATTCACAAACAAAAAACACCATAAAATATTAATAATTTTAAAATGTTACTTAATTAATATTAATATTCGCTCATAAAACTTCTAATTGCAATTTACAGTTTTCCGCGCCATCTATTTGAAAGTGGATAAAACAAATGGAAGAAAGCAACTGACTTCGAGCAGAAATTGGAAATGGTAAATCAATTGCTTTTTCATGTCCGCCTCAAGAGAGGTCGCCACAATTTACGAGATTTGCCAGGAGCCACTCATCAAGTAGATACTGAAACTACAAAAACCATAAATAAAGAACTTCATATTTTAAACCTATTTATTTCAATAAATAATTCATTCACTCATTCTTTGGCATAGATGTATAATATTTCTAATAATCTACAGCTAAAATGTTTGGCACAAATAGAATTTTTGGGTTTATAATAACAAGCAACTTAAACGAACGTTTAAACATTAAATAAGGGCGTATATATAAAGCTTCAAAAAAATAAAGCAAAACAAAACCCTACTTTGATATTCTAGCAATAACACTAAAAAGTACGCAGTTTGGTGAGCCCAATTTAATGTATTGCCAAAAATTAAAACAATATAGTGAAATAAGCCTTAAAAAAACAAAGTGTTAAAACATGGCCAGAATGCAAAAGAGAACTATAAAAAAGCGACATTGCAAACATAATGGTGTGATCGATACGTAAGGTATGCAAATTCAAATGAAAAATTTGGACTGATTGACCTTTCCTTGAACATATGGCAAAAAATAAATACTATGCATATAAAATGATTGGACAATACCGAATAAATTGTTCGAAGAATTATTAGTATTCACGAATAATTGAATTAAATAACATGGAACCGGGACCATTAAAATCTTCTAGCCGCGTTGCGACATAAACACTCGTCTTCGATACTTTCTTCTACCCAATGTAGGTAGTTCACCACTTTGGTGTAAACTCCAGGTAAATTCTTTCGAGCACACCCTCGTCCCCATGAAACCACCCCTAGAACAAAAAAGAATCTTCTGGTTAACAAAAATTATGTGGAACAGAATTTATTTTTCCATTTATTACCTACCTATAATTTCCATGTCTCCAAATGAGTTACTTAGTTGCAAGGGTCCACCACTATCACCCTGAAAAATACATTTGCTTAGATATTCTTCTGTTTCAAAATTGATTTCATTACTAAACTACAATACAATCTTTAACGAATTTTTTAGACTCACTCGGTCACTCTCTGTTGTTAAATTCCCAAATTGTCGAAAAGAGAACTTGCAACAGGTAACTGTCAAAAAGCCAACAACAATATGATATTTAAAGCGAACATAAATATCGTTGTTACTGAAAATTTACTGATATAACCTTCGAAAGATGCAAAGCTATTTCTTTCACGTAGAATCACGCGAAAATATTTTGAAAATTTTTATTTTTGGATGTGGTTGATAGCCAAATAGTTTTATTTTCAAAACGTTTTTTTTATGCTACAATTATTTCCACAGCCATAAGTTTTGTAAGATCTCAAACTGAAAAGGAATAGAAACGATTAAATAATAATGAAATAGAAGTTGTTTTTTATGAGATAACTTCAACAGGCTACTGTAATCATATTTACAAATCTTCTAGATTCTTTCTGCGTCGGTTGTTGATTAGTTTAACTTTATTTAAGTTTAATTTTATTACAGTTTTCGATTTCTGAGAAAATGTCATGATAGGTTTCTTCCTCCCTATGCTTAATCTCTAATTTTTGATTCGTTACAATCGCCTATAATACAAGAACCGTCCCTTAGAAATTACCATTGAGAATTTACTTATCAATTACATTATTTTCAAAGATGCCAAACTTCGATTGTTCAAATACAACCAACCAGCACAAAATAATAATAATATTGTATGGTGTGATGCACAAGTTAATTCTACAGCGATTGTTATCTCATATTTTCTATCAAAATTCAGTCAAAGTCCTTTCTAGTTGGTTAGAATTGATGTTGATCAAGACTCTGGAACATTATTTCAAACTCAGCAATAATCACAGAAGCACCAGAATGGCAATTGGTTTATCCTAAATACTGTACATATTTTGTTATGGATATATTAATAATTATGTTAATTTATTTACCTGACAGGCATCAATCCCACCTTCGGGGTACCCAGCGCAAAACATATTTTCGGAAATTTTCCTCTCGCCGTAACCGGAATTGTAGCAATCCCTCCTAGACCACACGGGAACAGCAACTTTCCTCAAAACTGTAGAAATCTCCCCCTTTTCCTTAGTTTTGCCCCAACCAGCGATAATACCAATCCTTCCGGCGTAATCTAAAAATTCTGCAAATCGCGAAAGTTAAAAAAAAATCATGCAAGCGGAACACGCTTTTCACCGTCGTTTGGTAGACAAACTGGTTGAATTCTGTGATTAAAATCGACAGGAGAATCCATTTCTAAAATGGCAATGTCGTTGTTAAAACTTGCTTTGTCAAAGTGCTCGTGTTTCCTCACGCTTCTTAGACCTCTAACCTCTATAGAGTAGTGCCGATCGAGATCTAGTCTATCGTGATCTCCCAAAGTTACTGTCAGTTCGTTAAAGTCAAATCTGCAACCAAATGAAAGTTTGGCGCGAAACACTTAAATCACATTTTAGATCTATTTGGATGCTACCGCTGTATATACAGTGTGTCCGAAATTGGATGTATTAAGATCTGAGAAACGACTATATTCACGACGATTCTGTAGGCGCTGCAGCCAACTGTTTTTTTTTTAACGAAATGGGGGGAATTCAATTTCAGTTACGAGGAAGACATCTTACATGATAGACAGCGCTGACTAAAGTTAATGTCGTAAACACTTTGGTTATTAGATTCCCAAAATTTTAACTCGATAACTTCTATGGTTCAAAAAATAAAAGGGGACTTAGTGTATACTGTCTTTAACCGGTTTGAAGAGTGTCTATTTGAATGTCCCACAATAATACATTTCATAACGACATTACATTTAGTAAAAAAGTTTACAACAACTCATAATAAAATTCTATAAACCTAACATTTACATTTATCCACAAAATATTCTAATAATTTTTCTTTCTGACGTTATCACTCTCTTCTAATTCTTATAAATCCCAAAAAAAAAAAGATTTTTTTAATTTATGTTGAATCAAACTTAATCCTTCAAACTTCTCTTGAATTTACACGAATTCGTCCTACCAATATTGATTTTTTAGAGACAGTTTCTTTTACACATACATTCAAAGCACCACCTGCATCATACTTTTTCAAGAGTACACCCATGACCAATTCCTGACGCGCTTTGTATGCCAGTTATATAATGTTTACCATTTGTATTAGTATCATTTGTGGAATGTGTTAACCTTATTTTTATTTGTTTGTACTTGTCCAGGTGTGACTTTCAACGTCTAACCATCACCTAGAATTTATTTAATTGTCTTCCTTCATCTCATGTATGGCAGCCATGTATGGCAAGATGGTTATTGCGTTAGTACCTATTATTCGATTTTCATAATTTACATACATGCACATCATTGAAACAAACGCACGAATCTAATGTATTGCAGAAAGACTTAATTTTAATACCTATGCTTAATAAATTTGTTATACGAAAAAGGTATCGGCAATTAAGGATTATTGTTTGTACTAGGTTGAATATTACACAACTATTCAAATGTTTACATTACTTTAAAAGTGGTTGCCTTTTTCTTCTACAGGGAGTTTAATTTTCGATATCTGTTATCTGCAGAGATAAAAATTTACCCCGCTTTTGTTTAAATATAAATTGTCCTCGCTTATATTAATTTTCACATAAGAAACTATATTATTACCAGGATAATTTTCCATAAAATATACATAAATATACATCTATTCCAGGTGTCGCATTTGAAGAAAATAACTTAACGTCATATAGTAAAATTGAAAACACGAATTAAATAATTCCCTTGTATATAAAAATGATTTGAAACAATGATCATTTCTTCTAAAAGCGGCTTTAGTGCTTGCTATCTAAAAATATTAAAGATTGGACGCCCCGTACACAAAAGAAACGACACTTCAATGATTTCTCGGAATCTGGAACTAACATGATAATAACCATTTGGTTTCTTGCACTCCGATCATGCGCTAACCGATCATTTTTCATTATTGCTGTCATTCTCTACGGAGATTTTATGACCTATGGTCATTGACAACTTTATCGCGCGCAACAGCGTGACAAAGTCTACACTTGATATTCGCAACCGCAGAAGTGCATTTTAAGAGGCTAACGCACCAGTTTTTCAGGTTACTCTTTGCAATGGTGTTGGGTAAATCTAACTTTTTACGCAATTTTATAAATACAAACCCATTACGTATTGTTACGACCCACTGCTCCTTCCTCCGTATTAATTATATTTTATTTAATTCAAAATAAAAAGAAACAAATTGAAGTCCGTCGCAATAAAACAGGAATTACATTTTAAACAATAATGTTTGAAAAATCAATTTTACAAAATAAGAATTAGTATCATAGTAAGTGACCGTAGAAGTTACAAGCGTCAATAGTAAATGGCCAAAAATTCTGAACAGGCATTAGAACTTTTGGTTTTTGGTGGATGGATTTCACGTTTCTCTTTGTGGGGGAATAAGATGACGAATTTAACACCATCGCTGAGTTAGCCACTAAAGCAAAATTCGTTAGAAATGATTACAAACAATTGTTTGAAAAGAATTAAGAAAAGTGGTAAATTTGCGGTATTCTAAGTTGTATAATTTTTAATGTACAGGTTGGAAAACGAGATACTAGCTCTTGGTCAAAGTTTATTGTCAGTTAAATAATTCAATCAAAACTGATAATCTAAATGTTATGTTAATTAAAAGTAGGTTTTTCTTCTTCATTTCAAACAGATTCCAGTCAAAATCGGTTTTTCCGAGACACATTAAAAAAAATGCCAGCCTAAATAATATCACCCACCAGATTTTAAAACGGATAAAAACATAAGGTACATACTTTTAATTGAAACATCAGGCGTTCCATTGAAATGCAAAAAAGAAAAGATTATTAACATTTATATACAGAAATCAATGTAACTTTTTGTACTTCCTACTCTAAAATACCAAATTATGCATTGCTCAAGCGTTCATAAAGTGTCACTTTAAGAAATCAGCTTCATTAACCACTGGTATTTGACGTCACACGTCATTGTTGAATATATTCGAAGTAATTCGCGACCATGGGTAATGGCGCCTCAAAGTTACATTTTCCGCAGGCTTAATCCATGTATGATTGGGTATTTTAAAGGAGAGAGTGGAAAAAGTATGCGTCACGTTTACAAACCTCTTCAGTCGCTCACGACTAAAGTGGTCTTTATCAAGATTGTTGCATTGCGCTTTTACAAATACGTTCACTATTTTCGTTTACCACTTTTAAGTGTTCAGCAGCTTATATTATTACTTACCCGTTAATGCAATGAGCGGCTGTCAATAAATGACGCCGTGTGATTAAGGCCGCTCCGCAGTGATAAGTACCACCGTGGCTGATCCCCGCAATCCAGGGAAATTCGTTTACTTTTGTGATATTGCCCCCTACTACCCGCTGTTGTCTATTCACCACACCGCATTCTAAAAAACAACGCATTTTTCTTTGCTGCTAAAATTATCAACAAATGCAAATCTGTATCTTTCAAAATTGAATAATAACGACACTTACGACAGTTGCAGTAACCTTTTAGATAACGCTTACTCCTGGATTTCACCTGCAAAACAATGCATTTAATCCTTAAATATTTAACTGATAATAGGTTTAGCAGTGAATAAATATAATCCCCTAGAAATTCAGTATCAAAGAGCTCAACTTAAAATAATTTTTATTATAAATTAGCCATGAAAAAAATATTTTTTATGGGTCAGTCAACAAAATTAAACTAAAGACAATCAAAATTTTAAACCAAAGTGGAAATTGTTATATTTTTTCAGCAATGCAAAAGTTGTTTATGTACGAGCACTCCTGTTATTTATGTTTAAAATAGTATAAAGCTCTAAAATGGCATTCTAAACACTTTTTCAAAAAAAATCCAAATTAAATTTTTCTTCCTATCTTATTACACACTTGGTATTTTCTAGCGAATGAACCAATAAAATATGCAGGCTGCACTAAAAAAAACTAACCAAAACTATTGTCGATAAATTATAGAGACTTGATTCAAGCACTCCTTTTGTAATACAAATAACCTTCGTGGCAAAATATATTTGATTAAAAATATTTTTGATTAATTTATTTTTGGCAGAACACTATAGGAGGTACAATTCAAAAACTCATTACTACAATTTGTCTACAAAATTGTATGTTACCATCACTCCGTGTCTTTGTTAAATTTCACTAAATATAATATAGGCCAAAAAAAAATCTTAAATACAAAATTTAATTATTAAAAAGAATTAAAAACCACATACCGCAATTAATTTTAGAATTCGTTTAATAATTCATCCCGGACACACTATATATTTAAAATGAGACACATTTTTATTTCCTCAGAAATAATTTAATGATCATTTCTTCATATGCCTCATCCCCGATAACATGAAAATTAAGCGAAATATATCGACCAAAAATTGCAATATTTACCTCTGTGGGAACAGCCCTTGCACTTTCCAAAACGATAAATACACATAAACTTAAAACTAATACAGAATCCAAACTAAATGCAACTCGCATCAACATTTTTTCGGCACCTTATATATTTATTTACGTATACGCGCGATTTATTTTCCGTTATTACGAGATCCAATTGTTTACGATTTTTTATATGTATACCTATACAACGTTTTTAATAACGAGCGGGTAGTAGAAACGTAGGTGTAAATGATGTGAATATGGAATGTACACTGATTAAAAACGTTTAAGGAAACTTAATTTTTATATGTATTTGGTATTATCAAAATTTTGGGAGAGAGGGAGAATTTTTCGCCTTGACAACATTTACTGTAGATGATGAACGGTTTCGTAAAAAAGTGTCGTCGCGTCCCTGAATTGCATTTCAAGGTGGGCGCATAGAAAATGCATACGTGACACAGTTTTGCAATTGCGACCCGTCTTTCCACAACGCATGATATATTTCCGACCTTTAGAGAGTTCCGGAGGTAATGAACAAACGATTTTAATGGATCATTTCCATTACTTGCTATAATTTACATTCATTCGTTTTCTGTTTTATCGACTTTGAAAAATAACCTTTTTAACTAGTCGAATTTTTTTCGATTGTAAAATGAATATTTACTTAAAACGAATGTTAAGAATAGCACGTTAGAGCTGTATACCAAATTTGGAACGAAAATAACAGGAGCGCTTAAAACCTTGCCCATCCGTTACAAATATATATTTTTTTATATGTAGTGAGCATTATAGAACATACCCTATATATATAATGTAGCGTTTTTCGTAAATTTTATCCTTTTGCGACTCTCTATGAATTAAAAAAAGAACCACAAAAATTTTAAAACATTATTAGGCATTTTCTGAAATTGTCATATACTGAAACACCCACAAAACAATAATTGCTTGATTGTCAAAAGGTAAGATTCAAAAACCATTTTCTTAAGCACATATGTAGGCCTATAATAACATTTTGTAAAATCTTTCTGTTATTTCTTTAGGTATTAAATTGAGTGCTCGTTTTATTTTTACTTTCGTTTATAATTAAATAGCAAAGTAAAAATGCATATGTGCAACTAAAAAAAGTAATTGATGGTATATTATGCAGGTATATTTCAGTCAAAGTATTAATTGGTACTTAAAAATTTGCCTTTTAATAGTCCATTCATTGTTATTCCAACTATCAAATTTAAAATACAATTAATTTTTAATTTAATTGTAGACGTTTTATAAAAAGAAGATATATTTTACGTAGGGAGACAAATTTTAACAAAATATAAAATAATTTTCGTAGCCCAGGCAGCACTTCCTTTCTGCCCTCAATAAATAACAGCATGGTAGAAGATGAAAGTGGCTCCGGCGCCAACTTGGTTATATAAGATCATTAAAAATTGAAACTCAGTAATGTTTTGGTGCTTTATTTTGTATTTCTTTGTTGTCCGTTTGCTTTTTTTAATACGGGCCGACTTATTTTAATAAAGTAACGGGAAAGTAATTTCGTTTTGCGTCCAGCCGACAGAATGTGCCATTTTAATTTGTAGGAATTAATGTCCTATCGTTATTTCAACCATTTATCCCTTATATCGTTAGATACACCAAGATAACCAAAAAAATGGTCGCAGAAGCCGTAAACTTAGTAAAGTACTTGGGATGTGGACTAAATAATAATAATATGAATGTGTATATTAACCCATTATCAATATTAACGGGATAAGCTAACCTGATATTCTTTACACATTGTTCTTGCCAACATTTCATAAAAAGATATATATTAACGACAAAGTTATAAGAACGAAATATTAAATTATATAGAGATTTTTTGTATTTGTTGCCAATTTGCACACCACATGTAATAATAATAATAATAATCATAATCATAATAATAATTATAATAATAATAATAATAATAATAATAATAATAATAATAATAATAATAATAATAATAATAATAATAATACCGTTGGCTTTATAAAATTTGCAGAAATTATGAACCTATTGACAAGACCATACCAGAAATGCTTAAAATTGCACATAGTACCAAATCAGTGAGAAAAGGAAAAACGTATTAATTTTGAAATTAATACAAACCGCTTTCTCTGCTATGATCAGAAAACAAAAGAAATATAAATTAATTGAATCGCATAACAGTGTAATGTATAAAATAAACGCCGAGATCAAACCGATCAGTTCCTCTGATTAACATATTTATCTGTGTGTATTACTAAAACTCATGTTAACAATTCGTCATTTAAAATTAGGCTAGCGACAATAGTAAATAAATCAAATGAAAAATCTAAGTGACACCTTGACACAGTTTTGAAAATGGCCCATATAAAATTCGTGATTGTTATTTTGCAGTTTCTTTTATCGATGAAACACCGGTAATATTCCTTCGAATATAATTTTAATTTTTTTCACCCACGTTATCGCGCCTTACCTACTTTAACTATGCATTTAAATTTACATAACTTATTATGTGATATACAGAATGGTTTAGATTTAAATCATGAATAGAGGGGCAAATAAAGAGTAAGAAACGAATCCAATTAGATTTTTCGAAATCTATATCACACATTTGCAACAGGAAAATTAATAACTAAATTTTAATTTGTAAATTTCTTTTTATGTATGCAAGGTGTGTGCGGTGTGATTATGTGTGTAATTATGGAATAGAATTTAATAGAATCACATATTTTAAATCCAACGAGCAACAACACAATTTTTAACGTCAGTTTAACGATAAATATTTTTGGATCTATAAAACCCATTTTTAAAATTTGTATTGTTAGCGAGTGGTAAAGCATTGAATAATTTATAATCCTTCTTCCTCCATTTTGACTTCAGTCACGTAATCAATGTCGTGACGATAAATTCGACCTGAAAGTGCAGCAAAAAAAAAGACGAACTTAGAATTTCTATGTTCCACAGAATTTACATTAATATACACATATGTAGAAACGTTGTTTCAAGAATATTAGTTTACAAGATTCTGTATACGATTTGTACCGTAATTCGAGTTATACGTTTTTGCAGCATTGTAATTTTCGATTCAAATAAATAGTATATTATACAGCAAGTGCGGTAAACGGCATTTGACTCACGAGTTTATTTGACATGAGCGGAGCGAGTTTTAATAAAAGAATGAATTAAAAAGTTTACTGAACGTGTTGAATACTATGCTTTTTCTACAACCGTTAGTTTTTGGGTACATTTTCGCAAAACAATACAAATTCACAAACGTCAAAATTCAAAGCGTGGTTAATATCTCCGAAAACATCCGATTGCTCCCAAATCCGTGCTGTAAAATCCCGGAAATGTCTGAAGTGGTTGGGATTCGTGGAAGACGAAACTGACGTGGTAAAGTGACGCTTCCCGCACGCTAGATCGGTGTGTAATTAGGTATTTTAGAGACGGGAGTAGAAAAATATGTATTTCACATTTCAATCAAATCATATGTAAAACACAAGTTGTATTTTCTTTGTTTGTGCATAGTTGATTCTTACTATTTCTTGATTCCTTCTTCAGAGCTTAACCAAAATTTCAGAGTTTAACTGAATCTGATTGATGATGATTGATTCTGATTCATGATTCCTTTCTTATCATTCCTACATTTTTAAATCAGCAGCAATGAGTGTAAACTTGCGTATTTTAAATGGCTTTGTCTGCAAGTACAGACTATATGCAGCAGGAAGAATTATAATATTTGAATCAAATTTCAATAAGTAAAGAACACAAGTTTGAGTCGGTTTGATCATTTAGTAACAGAAAAGACAACTTTGATGTTGGCAATGGCCAAGTTTTACACAATTTTCTATAAATTGTTCTAATATCTTACTGCAAGAGCGTACAGTTTTGTTTAACTTATACTAATACTTTACTACAACTTTTTAGGACTACTAGATTTTAGAATTTGTTCTTTGTAATCTAATTCACGAAAAATTCAATAGTAACAACAAACCGATGTAGCATTTTTTCGTGCAAGAAAACGATAGGCGACAGACTGTATATTGTAATGCAAAACGAGCGTTTATTACGGAATAATTTAATGTTATGCACATATTTACAAGTTCGGTTGTAACAGTCGCTTTTAATTGATCGAGCGTGTTTTGAAAGTATGATCTAGTACAGACGGGTGCTCATCTGCATTTTTGATAAATTTTGGCATAATAACAACATAATCGAAAATTTGCATTTAAATTTCCTATACTTCACGAAATAAGTAGGATATAATAACGATTTGTTTGGTTACACGTATGTCTTCAATATTTTTGTTTGATCTGATTATGACAATTATTACTTATGTATTATCTAATGGAAACTGCAGCCCATCTGCACAAATAAAGATCGCGAGTCCGTTGATACTGTACAAGGTGTCCGAAAAGTAATGAATTCATTTCTAATACAAAAGTATTATTAACATCCGCCTGTCCGCCTGTGCAATTTTCTTCGGTTTCTCTGTTAAGTATAGCAAGTAATCAAGTTAAAATGTCCTCCAAGACAGCAGTACCATACAAACGACACCTTACCAGTAAAAAATATGCTGATTATCAAATATCGAATAAGTTCTGATTTTCATAGGTAGACGAAGACAATCATAACTGTGACGACGTCTTACAAGAAATTGAAGCACCTTCATATATACTTCACATTATAAGAAACCAAGATCTTTGCTGTGTTTTAAAGCGTTCAACCTGTTAAATGTTTTTTTCCAGGAAATCCAGGTTTAAATATTAAAAGCAGTTCAAAAATGTTGATGAAATATACAAAGAGTTGTATATTAAATCAATATAATATACAATGAAGTAAGTGTGGCGCTTTCTTCTTTTGTGACGAGTCAAAATCAATGTCAAATTGTAAACAATTAATAATAATCATTGCCACAATTAAAAGATGAAAGTAAACTAATTAATGAAAATTTTTCAAAGAAACTTCCACAGGCTACTGTAATACTTTTTAAAAAACTTTTGTATTTCTCCTGAGTCGAACTTGCTGACGTTTCGCCAATCATCCTGTTGGCTTCTTCAGAGCTTGACAGAGGAGGAATCCAACAGTTTTGTAAAGAGTATTATTTAATCTAATTTAATTCAAAGTCATAATTAAAAAATTATATTTTTTGTATATAGTATGTATATCTATTCTATATACATCAATAATAATTTCATTGTTTTATAAATTCTAAAAATAAAAAGGACTAAAAAGAATAAAAAGAACTCAAATATG